TGTTGACCAGTTGATGGAAGTATTTCAGATTGCATGTGAAAACCCCACACTGTACCCCAGAAGTGCATTAATGTACATAGTTACCGTTCAATAAAAAAAAAAAAAAAAAAGAATCCAAAACACTGATTATAAGATAAAGTTGATAATTTTGACTTTATCATCATTAAGAAAGTAGGTAATCCAATGAAGTGTAAAGAGAATGAAGGCTTTGGTGAGAGAAGTTATGTTCAATAAATACAATTGACAAAGGATCATATACCCACATGTGTATATTTATATAGTACATATACACACATAAGTATATATGTATAAACTTACCTCTTACAAAACTACCAAAGGTATATGTATTATATGTATGTGTATATGTGTATAGATTTTTTTTATAAGCCAATTCTCTCCTCTCTCACTTTCTCTCTCTTTCTATATATGTGTTTATAGATATACATATATATATATATATGCAGATCAATGATAAAAAAATAAACATCCTAAGAGTAAATGGGCAAGATATTTTCACAGGTACTTCACAAAAGAGGCAAACTATGACATATTTCACAAGCATATAAAAAAGGGATCAGCCTCATTAGTAACAAGGGAAATGGAAATAAACTTACAGTGAGATAACTTCTATATTGCAGCTGACGGGATGATGCTTTGCCACATCCCCTTTCAGAAGAGGCTTTGCTGGTCTAGCATGTGGGGTGCTGTCCACAGCGCCTCCCGCTGTCAGCCCTTCAGGGACTGCTGTGCCACATGGGCCCCCGTTGGCCCACAGCCAGAGACTGAGCTGTGCAGGGTATAAGGCCCTGGCTATTCAACCCAACTTAAGACAGCTCCAAAGGTCCCTTTTGGACTCCGAGTCCCTGGTGGGGTCTGTCAAGGCTGTCCTGCATCCTTGCTCCTTCCTTGTCCTCTCTGTCACACAGGTTGGTCTCCAGGGCACCCCAACAAACCTCCTGCCTGCTAAACTCCATCTTAGCATCTGGTGAAATTTGGACGAAGGATGAAAACCAAGGATGTTCACCTCAGGATTATTTGTAATAGGAAATGCAAAGAATCCCAAACCCCCTACTATTAAAATGTTCTACATAAATGTCAGCTCCATGAAGATAGGGATTTCTATCTGCTCTTGTTCATTGCTGTGTTCCAGGGCTCAGGACTATGCTTGCAACCCAGTAGATGTTCAGTAATATGTCTAGTTGAGGGCAGAGCCTGTGGCTCAAAGGAGTAGGGCGCCAGCCCCATATGCTGGAGGTGGTGGGTTCAAACCCAGCCCTGGCCAAAAGCTGCAAAAAAAAAAAAAAATTGCTTAATATGTCTAGTCAAACACATACATGTGCGTCTTGGCTCTGCGCTTCAAAGTTAATAAACACCCAATAAGTGGTATTTGATGTTATTTTTATTGTTACTGATAATACATTAGATATAACCCTCTCACCAGACACATGGAAGGAAGTCAAGGCTAGAATTCCACTCTCAGGTCTAGATCTCTCTTGTTGTCTTTCAGGTAATATGTGGAGAGAGGCAGGGATGTGGGGAATGCTGACTAAGATGGGAGAGGGAGTGCAGAAGGAGACCTGGGTTCTGGTCCTAGATCATACACCGACTTCCTGAGGACCGTGGGGAGGTCCCCCACCTTCTCTGGATCAAGGATCCCACCTGGAAATAAGGGGTCTGGTCCAGATGACTCTGGAGCTCTTGCCCCTGGGATGTGCAGAGGCTACAATATGGTGCATGACCAGTTCTCTTCCTCCTGTGGACTGGATACTACCTGGGGCGAGATATCAGGGCCTTGAGATGTTATAAAGTAAGGGCAGTTTTGATACATCCTGGGAGCATAGATCTCAGAGTACTCATCGTCTCTTCGAGGCTGAAAGAGTAAAACATATGATTGTATCAGGAAGCTGGTCTCACTCCTATGAAACTGGGCCTCAGGAAGCATTTATGGGGGACATTGTGACAGGCCACCCAGATCCCCCTTCAAAGAAGGACTTACCAGCCCCAGCTTGGGGAGGGTAGTCAGCAGGCAGACATCAACTGTCAGCCCATGTAGGGGTTGCCTCAGCTGCAGAGGCCTTTCACTCAAGGCCACACTCCTTCCTAACAAGGCCACATTCAGTGACTGATTCACATGGGAGTTTAAAGCCCTGGCCACCTCTGTCTGCTATGGGACAGCTGTAAAGGCCATTCCAGCTCCAAAGCTCTGAATTCCTGTTCATTTATTTCTATGCCTTCTGTTTCCTCCCCACCCCCTTTCTAAGAGTATTGTGGCCAGTGGGTTCCCCCAAGACATCCCATACCTTAAACTCCACCTCTGAGTTTGCTTCCTGGGGAACCCACCCATGATATCATCAATGCCCTGATGTCAGAAAGACTCCTGGCCTGGGAGTGGAAAGGTCCAAGTGTGGGGCCTTCTGCCCCTACTTAAGCTGTGTGACAGCCCCAGTCACTCTCCCACCTGGCAGGCAATAAATGAGAAGCACACAAGGCAGGCTGTTGAGCACAGTGGCATGAACACTGGCTTTGAATCCCAGCTCCACCACTCCTTAGCTATGTGTCCTTAAGCAAGTAACTTCACCTCTCAGAGCCTCCTTTGAAAGACAGTTATATCTCATAAGGGATTGTGAGATATAAGGTTGTGGCGGGGATTTAATGAGATGATATATGTCAAAGGGCTTAAGATTGAACCTGAGCCCAAAGCAGATACTCAACAAATGGTGGCTGTTATTACTTATTATTTCTCTGAGTGGAATGAACTCTAGACAAGGGATGTGAAAGTCCCAGGAAGCTTCTGCATGGGGCCAAAATAACTGTAAAATAGGGAGCACAGCCTGTGATTATATGAACTGGAGTGACCTTTAGCAACGAGGAAAGAATGGTCTCTAGCCACATGTCTCAAGCTGTGGAGGGGTGCAGGAAGGGAAGGTGAGAAAAAAGCAGAAGATCTCACCGATACATTCCAGGACCCCACTGGAGACCCATCCCGTTTCTCAAAGCACGGGTAACTCAGCCAGACTGCAGCTTCTTGCGCCAGCCGCTCCCAGCGCGCTGGGTCTCCACCACCCACGTTTCCTGTAGGGTCAGCTGGGTCCAGAATCACAGGCCTGCAAAACGACATTTATAGAGGGAGGTTGTGAGGAGCTGGGCTCTGTCCGGGGAACCAAGATGCTCCTGGCAGAGCAGACACCAGACTAGGGTAGGCTGGGACTCAGGGCATGAGGACCAACCTAGCAGGATGCTGCTCCCTGGGCTTGTGTCCTGAGTGCCCAGTCCCCTAAAGGGAAGTGAATAGGAGGAAAACGAGGTCTGAACTTGGGCCTGACAGATGTGGGTTTGAGTCCCATCTTTGCCCTTTATCAGCAGTGTGCTTTGGGGCAGGTCACTTGATCTCTCTTAGTCTACGTTTCTTCTGCTGTACAAGGAGGAGAGTTCTGCAAGCCCATCTCAAAGGATGTGGTGTGTGGATAGAGAAAATGTAGGCATGTGAAATCACTCAGTGCAGTGATTAGAACATAACAAGGAGTCAATACATGTTAGTTATATTGATAATAATTTTTACTATTACATTAGGATGTGGGAGCCATTATTGTTATTGTTATTTCTATTCAAATTTCAGCTATTTTGCTCATTTTCTGTTAAGGTTTGGACAAGCTCCTTACTGCTCAGAACCCCGATGCCTGCATCTGTAAAATGATCAGCATAGTGCCTCCTTCACAGGGTTAGAGGTTGTGGTTTAGATCAGATGGCAGTAGTAAAAGGCCCAGGAGATTCTCACTGAATGGGGAGCCTTCTCACCTACTCCATTTCCAGGGCATTGCAGCCATATCTAGGGGTACATTTATGTGGGGGAGCTAAGCCATATGGGGACAAGGTACCTGGGTTTCCTGAGCTGCTTTTTGAGATAGTCTCTAATATATGGGGTCTCAAAGTCATAATACTCTGTCCAGTAGATGCAAAGCTGCTCATAGTTCATAACTAACTCCAAGACGGTCTGAAATCCTTGGGCTGTGATGAACTCTGTTTTCTTGCACCCTTCCTCCCAGGCATAGACCGTCAGGAGCTCCAGGGCATACTTCTGTGGCAGGGGCTTCTTAAGCTTGTCCTTACACTGAGAAGAAGGAAAACAGTCAGAAACATTTTTTGGTTCAACTTCTATATAAAGTGCATTTCTCATGGGCTAAATCCAGACTACTATCTGTTTCTGTAAATAAGATTTTTTTTTTTTTTTTGCACAAAGCCCGCATTTATGTCTGGTCTATGCTGTTTCCACGATACAAAGGCAGAGTCAAATAGCTGTAATAGAGACCCCAGGCCCACAATTTCTAAGATATTTACTATCTAGTCTTTTACAGAAAAAGTTTGTTGGCCCTTGGTTAAGAGCTTGAACTCTGGATTCTTACTGATGTGGGTTTGAATCCTGACTGTCATTTTCTGATTCTGGGCAGATGACTTAGGCTCTCAGAGCCTCATTTTTGTTTTATTTGTCTGCCAAGAGAGTAGTGATAAGAGCATCTTCCTATGACAACTAACTGAGAGGAAGGACTGGTAGTATTCCTAAGAGCCACACAGAAGAAAACAAAATCCAGACCCTCAAATTATTTCATGAATAATTTTCACACATAATGACCAGCACATAGATAACCAGGCACATAAAGAAACAAGACACCAAGAATGATGACCAACAGAAAAAAGAGAGATAGTAATAAATCCACAAAACTTTAAATACTGGAGGATTGAACATGGACTTTAAAATAACTAGGAATTTTATGTTCAAAGAAATAAGAGCTTTTAATAGTTATTAGGGAATTCGAAGCCATAAAAGTAACAGGGAAGATATGAAAAGGAAGGAAATTGAAATCCTAGGTTAAAATGACAATAACTGCAATTAATAACTCAATAGCAAATTAGACATAGCTAAAGAGAAAGTCAGTTAATTGGAAGGTAGATTAGAAGACACTGTTCAGAGTAAAATATGGAATGACAGACGAAGAGATGGAAAATGCAGAGGAGAGTGTGGAGATATGAAAGAGTAAAAGGTCTAACAGAGTTACAGGAAGTGAAGAAAGAAAGAGGAAGAGATGATACTTTAGGAAAACGGCTGGCAAGTTCCAAAATTGGTGAACAATACATATCCACAGATCAGGAACCCAAAATCAATCCTAAGGAGGAAAAATAATAAGGAATCATTATTAAGACACATCAGATTGAAGCTAAACAAATCAAAGACAAAGAGAAAATTCTTAAATGCAGCTGAGGAGTAATACTTACAAAGGAGCCACTGTTATGTGAACAATTGACTTTTTAATAGTGGCACTGGATGATGGAATGATACACTCAATACACTGAAATGACCACTAACCCAGCAAATGCACCCTTCAGTAATAATTAGTTTAATTTCCCTTCAACGATACAGGGAAAAGCAAGACATTTTCAAGTAAACAAAAACTGAGAGAATTTATTACCAACAAATTGTTACCAAATGAAATCTCAAAGGATGTACTTTAGAAAAATGACCCCTCCCCCCCTTGGAAGGTTAGAGGTAGAGGAAAGAGTTAACAGTGCAGAAAACAGTAAACTATGTGTGCAGATTAAATAAGCATTGGCTATATAACAATGCTTTAAGGCCCTTGAAAATATAGAAAGACTTGAAATACACAACAAAAAATAGTACATAAATTGTAGGTAGTGATGATGGTGGTTAGTGGAGTTAAAGCATCATAAGGAACTTGTATGGCATCAGGAAAGAAAAATACAATTACAGATTATGTAGGGACTATCTTGATCATTGTAAAATAACTAGTATTCCTGCCTTTTCCCCACTGAATATAAATAGCAACTTTCTCCCCTCATCACCACAGTTACCAAAAATGCCCTCAATGACATCCAGTATGTCCCTGGGTGCAGTGCTGCTTTCAAGTGTCAAGAACTCCTTTCATAAAGTTCTACTATGCTCAGACTCCACAATTAAAATTCCTGGAATAGCAACTGCTGGGAAGTCTAGTGACTAAATGGTTGTCTTGTTTTCCTAGAGGTTTTGCTTTTAAATTAAGAAGGTTATCCGTAATTATTTTCATTCATTCATTCATTCATTCATTCAAGAAATGTATGTCAAATGCCTATAATTATCGGGCAAACTCTTGAGTCAGTAGACCCAAATTCAAATTTTAGTTCTGCTACTTTTTAGCAGTACTAGCCATCTGACTCTTAGTTTCTCTTTCCGTAAGATGGGCTTAATAATTATATCCACCCTTATCTTGCTCACAGAAGGACTGTGAAGGTTGAATAAATAACAGGGCACTTAAAAGTGAACAGAAAAGCATCTCACATCCACAAAAGTTAGATAAGCTAAGCTAAGCTAAGCTAAACTAAGCACACAATACATGTTAACTTTTATTACACGTTTTCCTGTCCTGGCTAGAAGAAGTCATGTTCATTAGGACCAACTGTATGCTAGGCACCACGTTAGCTTTGCTGTAGCATGTTACTCTTTGCAAATGAGAAAACAGAAAGAACAGAGAGATTAAGTTGCTTGTACAAGGTCAGACAGCCAGAAAGTTGGAAGAAAGGTATCTGAACAAGTTTGTTTGAAGCCCTACTTTTGCCCTATCCAACTTCTGAAGTGGTTGACTCCGAGTGTGTGTGTGTGTGTTTGTGTAGTTATACGTAGCACCTTTCATCCATTTATTCAACAACCAGTTTTGAGCACTTACTATGTGCAAGGGTCTGTGTTCTGGGGATAGACCAGTGAACAAAACACAGAAATCCTTTCCTTCAAGTCCTTCCCTTCTCTCTCTCTTTTGTTTTGAATGGTAAATGGGAGGAACAGAGTTTCACTCTGTCACCTAGGCTTGAGTATAGTGGTGCAATTAGCTCACTGCAGCTTTGAACTCCTGGGCTCAAGTGATCCTCCTGCCTCAGACTCTCAAGTAGCTGGGACTATAGGCGGGCTATAATGACTGGCTAATTTTTCTAATTTTTTTTTTTTTTTTGAGAAAGAATCTCATGTTGTCACTGTTGGTAGAGTGCCATAGTATCATAGCTCACAGCAACCTCACACTCTTGGGCTCAAGCAATTCTCTTGCCTCAGTCTCCTGAGTAGGTGGTACTACAAGCACCTGCCACAACATCCAGCTATTTTTAGAGACAGAGTCTTGCTCTTGCTCAGGCTGGCCTTGAACTCCTGAGCTCAGGCAATCCACCCATCTTGGCCTCCCAGAGTGCCAGGATTATAGGCATGAGCCACCGTGCCCAGCCTTTAATTTTTTTTTTTTAATGAGATGGGGGTCTCACTGCCTTGCTCAGGCTGGCCTCAAAATCCTTGGCCTCTAATGATCCTCCTGCCTTGACCTCCCAAAGTATAGGGATTACAGGTGTAAACCACCATGCCTGGCCCCCTTCTCTCCCTGCTCTACACCTCTTCTTTCTCTCTCTCCTCCTCTTCCCCCCCTCCTGCTCCCTGTCCAGACAGGGCTGCCCCAGCCTGGTGCCAGGACCGTACCATTTGGTACCAGTGCTTGACTAGGCGGATGAGGCTCTTCAGCTTTGTTGCACGTGTCTTCAAGAAGGCTCGCTGCAACTCCGTGAAGCAGGTGGAGAACTCGCCCTCTCTCTCCAGGTCGATGCACTCCCGAATGAGCTTGACGTAGATTTGGGGGTCAGGTCTATAGCCTTCGGTCCACTGACCTATTAGGGCAAAAAAGTTCATATTTTTAAGGTGCCAGCTCTTCTCCATGGCTCTTTCAGTCACTCTGGAGGGCGAGCTGACTTGTATAACTACACACACACACACACACTCCGAGCTGACTGGTGATGGGGTTCAGCAGACAGGACAGCAGACCTAGGGCCAGAAAGCCTGAGGTCCATTCCCAGTGCTCCCAGCTTCCCTCGCTACTGTCATCACCCCACCCAAGCTGCTGTCATCTGCCACCTGGACTCTGACAGCAACCTCCTCACTGGTTTCCCCACATCCCCTGCTCAGCCCAGCACCTAGAGCAGTGTTTTAAATCTCCTGGCACACTTGAACCTACAGTTAAACTTCCATGGCACATTTAAATTATGTTGATCAAAAAAATAAGTAAAAACAAGAATATAGTTACTGTGCTTTGAACTTCTTTCAAAAATAACTTAATTAATGATCTTTAAAAATTTTCACAGCACACCTAAGATCCTCTCAAGGCACACCAGTGTGCCAGGGCACATGGGTTGAAAATCAGTGACCTAGAGCGATCTTTTAAAATTTGGTCATGCCATTTCTTGCATCCCATGATGTCTGCAATAGCCCCTCCCCCAATTCCTGGGGTGGCCAATTAAATCTGGTGTGATCTGACCCCTGCTACCCTCACCTCACCTCCTGCCTGGCTTCCATTGCTCATTTACTACACTGAGCTTGTCTCTCTTCCTTGAATGTGCCAGGTTCATTCCTGCCTCAGGGCCTTTGCACTTGCTGTTCCCTTTTTATAGAACCCCAAGATCTTCCCCAACTGGCCCCTTCTTAATGCTCAGGCCTCACCTCAGCTCAGATGTCACCTCCTCTGGGGGCCCTCCCTCATCACCCAGCCTAGAAAAACCCTCTAGCCTCCGTATGATCTGTTTATTGTATCATCCGGTTCAGATTAACACAGCAAGTATCATTCCATATATCTTGGAGCTTGAGGGGGTTCTTTCTCTATGAAGCAGTCTCACAGTCATCCCAGCTAGAGTGCAGTGGTGTCATCATAGCTCACTGCAACCTTAAACTCCTGGGTTCAAGCGACCCTCCTGCCTCAGCCTCCTGAGCAGTTGGGACTACTGGTGCCTGTTACCATGCCTGGGTAATTTTTCTGTTTTTAGTAGAGGCAGGGTCTTACTCTTGCTCAGGTTGGTCTCAAACTCCTGAGCTCCAGGAATCGTCCCTCTTCGCCTTCTAGAGTGTTAGGATTACAGGTGTGAGCCAGTGCACGGGTTCATTGTCAGGCCCCAGGGCAGAGGTTCCTTGTCTGGCTTAACCATGGCCGGGCATGTCCCTGGCACACGATAGGCTGTGCTGATTGTTGTTTTGTCCCCTCCCTCAGTCTTGCCTCTCTCCTGATCTATTTTCCACACCACAGCCAACACCTTCCTTCTACAACACAAATCAGATCATGTTATTTTTCTACCAGAAAACTTTCCTGGCTGCCCACTGTGCTCAGGTCAAACTTATTACCAACACGAGAGGCTTCCTCATTGCTGAGTTACTTCCTCCTGGCACTCCCTGCAGTTTCCCCGACACGCCTGACTCTCTTCCAACCTTGGGGCCTTTGTCTGTGCGGTTCTCCTGCCTGGAGCACGCGTCCTTCCTTCCCCTCTCTTCCTCTTATATTTTGTAACCCTTGTTCCCCAGCCTCCATCACAGGACAAGGCAAAAAGGAACATCCCCAACTTCCTCACATGCTGGTGTCTTCAGAGTCTCAGTATTTTTTACATGCCTCCTGTAGGCCCAACGAAAACCCTGAAGTTCCCTTAATTAAGTACTAATTACTAATTAAGTCTAAAAAATAGTAGCTGAGGGAGTGGTGTCTGATAGATGTTACTGCATTTCCCTCAAAAACTAAAAATCTAAAATATTCTGTGCCCTGCTGGGACTTCACTGTGGTGTTCTGAGGTGCCTTCACGTACAGTTGGGAAATTCGTATTTTTGAACACTTACCGTGTGGCAGAGCTTAATGCAGATGATACGGTTTGATACAGGCAGTGTGGTTTTACCAGTTCTCTTGATATGGAAAGTGAGCCTCCCAGAGGTTACATGTCCTGATCTAATGCTCCTGCAGATTATACACAGAATATATCTATTTCCCAAATGGCTGTGTGAGGTTTCCTTGAGTATTAGAACAAAGGGGAACTTACTTGGAAATATAAAACCAGATCTATGCTGCCCGATTTTAGAAATACAAAATCCACACACCTTGCCATGAATGGAACTAGTAGGTCTTGCAGATGCTCTGTAAGAAATGTCTTTGTCCCCAGATTGTGCCAGTTTGCTGTTTCATGTCCCTCCTGTGACGTATTAGGACCTTATTCCTTCCTGCCCCAAGAAAGAGTCTAGTCCCCACCCCTGCTTTAGAGGGATGCCCTGCTGGGGAAAAACTCCCAAACTGTGCTCCCACAGTTCCTTATTTCCTCCTCAGAAATAAGCCAAGGGAGAAAAAGAAGCAGTGTTACAGGACAAAGGTGGGACTCCCTGTAGCTAAAAGCACTCACCCAAGGCATCAAAGGCTGGCAACACATCAAACTCCACACCCTCGTGGAGCCGTGGTGAATACAGCACGAAGCTAAGTACTCGAGGGTTGCCCCACATTTGATCGTGGACCTGAAACTCCACACCAAATATTTCCTCTCTTTGACAGGCTTGCAGCTGGTTCCTAATTTCCTCAATGTACTCTCTCCGGATATTTAACTGATCCCGAAAACTTTTAAGAGGACTGAGGAAGACAACCAGATCAGCGTCAGATCGGCCTCTGAGAGCAGTGCCTTTGCCTGAGGAGCCACCCTAAAAAAGATGACAAGAATAACTGACACTTAGTGAGATGAGCCTCCCTATATAAAATGATGAGAACAATCATTAACATTACAGACCACTAGCCATTCTGAGGGCATTACATGTTGTAAACTCCTATACTGCTCACAATGACGCTATGATTTAGGTACTACTATTACAAATTCCCATCTTATAGATGGGAAAACAGGTATTCAGCGAGATTACACGTCAGCCCAATCATCCAGCTGGTGGGTGGCAGAGATGCAATTCAAATCCTGGGTGCCTCATTCCAGGGTCTGGGTTCTTTCCCCTTTGTCCTCTATTATATTTTATACACCCCAGACTGGCTTGTGCTGGGTGGTTTACATACATTATTTTACTTAATCTGCACAATCCTATGAAATTTGGGGAATTACCGATGAAGACACGGAGAATTTAAGTGATTTGCTTACTCAAGGTCTTGCAGCTACCTGCTTTCAGAATGTACGCTCTTAACCAACTCATGAGATTGCAGAAATGGTAAGTCCCAGCCTGGCCACTAATTACCAATTATTTATCCGAGCTGGGCTTCAGTTTCTCTATTCCTGAAATGGATGTGGCCTAGGACAGTGGTTCACAAACTTTGGGAGCTTGGGGCTTATAGGACCTCACCACAGAATCTTTTTTTAACAAGCCATGCAGACAAATCAGAAACCAGCTGAGAAGAGCTCAAACTCCCCCCCCCCCAGTCATGTCATTACTTGGGGGTCTATGTTTTTGCACTTTCTTTTTTCTCCACCCCACCTTCCAATTTGGAGCCCCTGCTCCTTCAGCCGCCCCTTCCCCAGTCAGGCAGCCCCGGGCTCACCTTCACCACCTTTGACACCCGCACAGAGTGGTAGGTATCTCGGAAACACCTTTCCTTTAAGAAATCACCCATGATCTTGATGGCTAATTTGACTTGCTTGCGGAAACGTGTGTCTGGCAGGAGATAGTCTTCAATGAACTTGTCCAGATGCCTGGCTTGAGTACATCTGAGATCCATCATGGTACTTGAACAGGGACAGGAGAGCCAGTGGGAGCAGAACTACCTCCCGAGATCTGACAGCCTGGTTTCGTTTTCTTGGCAGGGTGGAGCTACTCCCCGGTGACTTTGCCTTTTCTTTTTATTTATTTATTTTTTTCTAGAGTGCTCATAGCTGTCAGCAACCTCAAACTCATGTGCTCAAGCAATCCGTCTGCCTCCGCCTCCCAGAGTGCTAGGATCAGGGGTGTGAGCCCCGAAGCCTGGCTCTTTTAGCAAATCAAACATCCCCCAGCTCCCAGGAGAGAATTGCATTACCAGCACTTCTACTTCCTGAAACTTCCACTTTACCCTTTAACCAGTTAGAGTGGCTTTCCTTTCTTTGGACTCCACCCCGAAAATGTTGCGTTTTAACTCTGTGGCCAAGTGAAATCATCCTTAAAGGCAGATTTGGGGTTTCATTCTTTGTCTTTTTTTTCCCCCATTGACAATATTGTTTCATAGCCTCCTATGATTGTTTTCCCCGGCAAAATATGCATATGGCAAAGAGAAAAGAAGTCAGAAAAATCAGGAAATGAAAAGATCCTCTATAATTCTGAAGCTCAAAACTACCACTACGAACATTTCAGAATAGATCTTTTCAGATGTTTTTGTCTGTGTTTACACACACACTTGTACAAGGTTCTCTTTTCTTTTTTTAAAAAATGGTATTATACTATACTTCCCCCCCCCTTAATTAATAGATTTTATTTCTTACAGCAGTTTGAGGTAGGCTTACAGAAAAATTGAACAGACAGTGCAAAGAGTTCCCATAATCCCTCTCCTTCCACCCATAAATTCCTCTATTATTAGATTGCTATGGTGCCTTTGTTACAAGTGATGATTGGTATTAATATTAGTACATTATTGTTAATTCATAGTTTACATTAAGGTTCATTCTTTGTGTTGTACAGTTCTGTGGGTTTTGCCAAATATAACATGTCATGTGTCCTCTGCGGCAATATTACCCAGAATAGTTTCACGATCCTCAAATTCCACTTATTCATTCCTCTCTGAGTTAGAACTTTCTTCTTGTCTAATATATACATTCAAGGCTATACATTTCCTTCTAAGCACAACTTTCACTGTGCTCATACGTTTCGATCGGTTGTTTTTTCATTTTAATTTAGTTCAAAATTTTTACAAATGTCTCTTGAGACTTCTTTGCCCCATGCATTATTTTGAAGTGTGCTGTGTAATCTCCTTACATTTTGAAAATTTTCGGTTATCTTTCTTTTATTGATTGCTTGTTTTATTCCATTGCCGCAAAGAACATACTTTGTACGCTATTTCTCTGTTTAAATTTGTTTTTTTATCTTTAATTTTTTTTGAGACAGTCTTGCTTTGTTACTCAGGTGTGAGGGCAGTGGAGTGATCATTGCTCACTGCAACTTCAAACTCCTGTGCTTAAGTGATCTTCCTTCCTCAACCTCCTGAGTAGCTGGAACTAAGGTGCCTGCCACAACACCTGGCTAACTTTTCCATTTTTAGTAAGTCTTTCTCTTGCTCAGGCAGGTCTGGAATTCCTGGCTTTGAACAATCCTCCCACCTTGGCCTCCCAAAAGTGCTGAGATCACACATGTGAGCCACCTTGCTTGGCCTTATTTTTAATTGTTATGGGTACACAGTAGTTGTATACTACATACATTTATAGGGTACGTATGATGTTTTGATACATATATAGCATGTATGATAATCAAATCAGGGTAACTGAAGGATCCATTACCTCAAGCATTTATCCTTTCTTTGTGTTAGCGACATTCTAGTTCCACTCTTTTATTTTAATAGATGCCATAACTTGTTGACTATAGTTATTCTGTGGTGCTACCAAATATTGTTCATTCTAACTATCGAACTACACTTTTGTACCCATTAACCATTCCCACTTTATCCCAAGTCCCCTTTCTGTTTAAATATACTATGGTATGTTTTCTGGCCCGGAACGTGTAGGCTTGAGAAGGATGTGTATTTTATTGTTACTGGAGCAAGGATTCTGTAGATGTCAACTATCTTTCTTAACAACGCCTTCCCTTGCTCTTTTTTTTCTATCAGATCTTCAAGACACATCAACTTTTTTTAAAACTTCAGGTTAAGGTGAGGGTACCATTAGGTTACAATATTTGCATTTGTTAGGTAGAGTCCCTCTTATAGTTGTGTCCCGCACCCAGGAGGTGTGCCATATACCGTTCCATTAGGCAGGAACACAGCAGTCCTCCTCCCTCCTCCCCCCTGCTACCTCTTTCATTTCGCCCTCCCCAACTTGGATTGAATTTTTTCTCTTAGAGGGTGTGTGTTAGATCATCTACTGGCTTCATATTAGTATTGAGTACATTGGATTCTTGCTTCTCCATTCTCATGATACTACTAAGAAGAATGTTTTTCAACTTCATCCAGATCAACACACAAGACGTAAAGTCTCCGTCTTTTTGATGGCTGAATAGTACTCCACAGTATACATATACACAGCTTGTTAATCCAATTCCGGGTTGATGGACATTTAGGTTGTTTCCACATCTTGACAATTGTAAGTTGAGCTGTGATAAACAATCTAATGCAAGTGTGTTTATGATAAAATGATTTTCTTCTGGGTAGATGCTTAGTAATGGGATTGTGGGATCAACTGGGAGGTCTAACTTGAGTTCTTTGAGGATTCTCCATATTAGTTTGTGGGTCTGCAAACTAATACAGCCTCTTAGAGGCTGTGAAAGTGTTCCTCTCTCTCCACATCTGTGTCAGCATCTGGAACTTGGGATTTTGTGATATGGCCTATTCTCACTGGGGTAGGTGATATCTCAGGGTGGTTTTGATTTACATTTCTCTGGAGATTAGGGACAATGAGCATTTTTTCATATGTTTTTTAGTAATTTGTCTTTTTTTTTTTTTTTTTTTTTAAATCAAGGTCTGGCTCTACTGCCCTAGGCCAGAGTGTGGTGGTGCACTCATAGCTCACTGCAGCCTCAAACTCCTGGGCTCAAGTGATCTTCCCATCTCAGCCTCTCAAGTAGATGGGACAACAGGCATGTGCCACTACACTGGCTAATTTTTCTACTTTTTGTAGAGATAGAGTCTCACTACATTGCTCAGGCTGGTCTTGAACCCCTGGCCTCAAATAGCCATCTCTAGCTGTTGGATGAATTCCTGTCGGCACCAATGAGAGACTCTGCTTTCAACTGTGCAGAGACCTTTGACCTTTTTTTGGCCTTGGCCTCCTAAAGCGCTAGGATTACAGGCGTGAGCTATCACACTCAGCCTATAACCTCTTTTCGTAACCAGATTATTAATTAATTTATACTCTCTACTCCTGCTGTATGAGATGTTGACTTACGCTTGGACAAAATGTAACTACAAAGGTTGGGGGGAGGCTCTGTCTTTACAATAATTACTTCAGTCATCAGTTGAAGTGCCTATTTATCGAAGATTTTGTTTGTTTCCAAATGTCTTCATGGCAATTGTAGTTGCTAAATACTTTTGGTTACAAATCTATGAACAGATCCAATATAAGTACAACACAAGAGCTGTCTGTAGAAAACCAGTATTGAATTCTTTGGAACGTTGTAATAAAGGCAAATTTCATAAAACACTGCATAGAATTAGCTAAGAAGGAGACAACTATTAAAGAATGAGGAAATAGGGCGGCGCCTGTGGCTCAAAAGGGTAGGGCGCCAGCCCCTTATGTCGGAGGTGACGGGTTCAACCCAGCCCTGGCCAAAGAAAAAGAATGAGGAAATAATCAGAAGAAATTTGATTATGCCCAGGACTATGCCCGTCTGCCTTTGCATGTAGCTTCAAATTATTGTTCCCGTTAAAGAAACAGAAATAGGAAATTACAGATTACTCATTTTTGTGCTTTTCGAGAAAAAAAAATGCAGGGCTCCAGCCAGGGGGCCTGCCCTCAGTAGAAAGGTTAAGGTTTTCACTGAGCGATGGGGGAATGAAGGCACGTTTGTGGGCCATAACTATTAAGTTGGAGAATCCTGATACTCTGGTGCTCTACATATGGATGTGTTTAGTCAAAGAACCAAAAAAGGGAAGCAACTCGTGTTCAAGGTCACACAGCTAATTTGGACAAGAGCCGTGCAAAATATACCCGTTATGTGTATACTTTTGTTTTCTTGGTGCTCTTTTTTAAAAATTATTTTTAATTGTTATGGATACATAATAGTTGTACATATTTATAGGGTGCATGTGCTGTTTGCTATAGACATACAATGTACAATGGTAAAATCAGAGTCTTTGAGGGTATCCATCACCTCTAATGGTTCATTTAACCTATCAAGCCAACATCCCTGGCAAAACTGATGGAGCTGGGAGGGGCAGTCACTCAGGTTCTGGAGCATTGAATGTTTCATTCCGTTGGCCACTTGCCCAGCTGAGGCTAGGACTGCATTGCTCTCTCCAGAAACCACCTGCCCCTTTCACCAGCCTCACCTTTGCCAGCCCTGATGGGAGACCAGGTCTCAACAATGTGGTCTTGCCTCAGATTCCTACTCAGAACCAACATCGTATTCAGCATTGGTTAAATTCCTGTCAGCACCAGTGGGAGACTCTACTTCTAACTGTGTAGAGATCTTCAAGCTCTATTTTAAACCCCCCTTGAGCTTCTCCCAATTTCAGCTCCAATATCCTGTGTTCAATCAATGCCACCTCAAGGGTATTTTTCCTGATGTGAACCTCTGTGGGTTAAAGGTCAACAACTGGTAAATTGAAATGGAATTTATCAAGCCCCTACTATATGCCAGGGACTCATCAATGATTATCCCATTGTAACCTCTCAGCAACTCTTTGAAGTATTTATTGATGTCCCCATTTTCCAGATGAGGAAACTGAGACTCAGAGAGGCTAAATGACTTGGCTAAGTTTCCTCAGCTAGAAAGTGACAGGATTTGAATGCTGGACTGAATTGATTAAAAGGCTGGTGTGCTTTTCAGGGCAGATACTTTCTACTATATCATATTGCTTTTTGCAGAGTATTTTATTTCAATGAGGGTAAAAAAAAAAAAAAGCATAATTAGCTGTCTGTGCAACTCTTCCCAAAATAATAACACCTACTCAGTCCATTTGCATTGAACTGAGGGACTGTGGGAGGCCAACACCAGCAAGCCCTCCACATGGACAGATGAGGGTGCTCCCTCTCCCAACAATTCTCACAGACTTTTATTGCCATCTCAGGCATGAGAAAACACAGCACAGCAACAAGCTTCAAAGAGAGAGTCAAGGTGAAAAAACAAGGAGTTTTTCTTTAACTGCATAATTTAAGTCTTAACACATTCTGTTTACTGCACT